TGTGGGGAAAGAGGCAGGAATACCCAAAGCAGCAGCATGCTTAACAAAAACAGCATCTGTTCAGTTCATAGATTGTCTTCAGGCTCCCACCAAAATCCATGGAATTTTGCTATAGATTTCAGTAGGGTCCAAATGTCAAAACCCACTGTGTCCCCTGCCACTGTTCCTTTATGCCAGAGTCATCATATAAGTGCATCTACAGAGGAATCCAAATCACATGTGGAATATGCTGAAAATACAACAAAAATGAAGGATATGTATGTAAAGGACATTTAGGAGAGACAACACAGTTGTTAGACAAGGACTAGCCACAGTGCTCCTTAAAATAGCTCTCAAAAAAGGTTTGCATCTATCCTGGTCCAGACCAGGGCATTAGGAGCTCCTGTCCTCTCTCCCTCCAGAGCAGCCCTAGCGTTAACAGATGCAAAGGCGACCCCAAAATCATGCTAGCGTGAGTGGGATGCCAAATCACCCAGTGCAGCCTGGGCTACGTCACCAGGCGCCTGCCTGGGGAGTCTTAGGACAAGCACAGCCCTCTCGAAATCCCTACATCAAACATTTTCTAAGGCAGCACAATGCTATTGATGTTTAAGCAGAACTTTCATCCTGAAGGAGGCAAGATCAATTTCACTAGTTGGTCTTCAGACATTAACACCTCATAAAAAGGATGCTCATGCCCTGCTTATCTGGAGTGCATCTTTAATTATCTTTTGGTACACCTTTTGCAGCCCATTACTTACCAGTCAACACTGCTTTAATTATGGGCTTGGCAGTAAAAGGCAGCTCTTACATCACTGAAATAAAAATGCTACAAAGCAACCCTGGAGAATTGCAAGGAGATTTCATATTCAAATGGAAAACTGTGGAATTCAGCAAAACAACATGGATTCTCTTCCACAAAGATTTCTCCCTATGGGCAGTACTGTCATAGCCAGATGCACCCAGGAACCCTCCAAAGAACATGAGCAGCCAAGTGATGGTTGTGCTCTCACCTGCTCCTCAGGAAAGAAGCATTTACAGAAGCTTGTCTTGTTTTGAAAATAATTCAGTGGCCAGACATGCATGCTTCCACCATGTGTCAGAGCAAGTACGATGGAGATACATTTTGCACCTGGAGCAAAAAGAGGGCAAAACTTATGATAATCCTTGCTTTCTAAGAGCATTCATTCTGCAGTCCAGAACTGGCTCTTGGGAGAGCTCTGTCACCAGCACCACTGAGCTTTCCCTTACAGTAAACACCTTTATTATGCCAAACCATTGCTCTAGCCTTTTTTCCTACCTGAAATAAATGTTGTTTCTAACACTTGAAGGTGGAAGAAAGCAATATTGCTGAAAACAAAACAAACCATTAAGTCTTGCTCTGACTCAGTTCCCATTAAAACAATAGGTTTCAAGGTGAAAAAGGCATTAGACCAGTTTCACATAACTTTTGAATAATCTCACACTTAAGTTTCTCTTATATTTAACCCTTAAAATAATTCATGGCACTGATTGTAAGTATCTGAAATTTGGGGCAACCGTACAAAAGGGGCCATACTTGCTAAGACCAAATGTCTGTCTAGTCTGCTATTTAACTCTTCAGCAATGGCCAAAAATGGATACCTGTCTAGGGAAGGTAGGTATCTATAACCAGCTCAGTCAGCAACGTACTGGCACTTTTACCTAGCAATGATGATGATGACCTCTGTTATTTTCAGCCCAGAGACTTCCAGAGGTGGATGAGAGTTTCTAAGTATACAGAAAACACAATATGCTTCTACTTTGTGAATTTATCCAGTTGTTTTTTGAACCTGTCTAAAACTTTAGCTTCCAAAGCTTTCC